TAGACCATGGCAAAAAGTCACTACATATTGGTCTCAAATTTCAAAAAACGAGTTCAAGATCTTATAACTAATAGTCAGCCTTGTTATGAGTATATAGATCAGTTTCCAGCTCTCTCTGATCCATTAGGTTATCTATTAGTGAGTATAATATAGTGAGTATAATATAGTGAGTAAATATATATATATATATATATATATTATGTTATATAAATCAAATAAAATAGTTATATATTGTTGATTACTCGGTTAAACGTAATAATTAGTCTTTATTTTTAAAGAAACTTTATTCAGCAGCGCACTTATTACATAAAATCAGAAGAAGAAACATAGAACACCAAAAATAATGTAGATAAGAAAAATCATGTAGAAAACAAATAAACTTAGTTGAATCTAGTGTGCGCTTTATATACGCGGATAATGTAGAGCACCTTTTTATTAACATGCCCTCTTGCTCTAATTATCATATAAATGAATTAAGTTTAAACAGTATTTAAAACGTGGTCTATGAAGTGGCTTCGTAAGTATATCTGCGAGTTGATCTTCTGTCTTCAGATATTTGACTGCAATCCGTCCTTCTCGTTCTGCCTCCCTTACAAAGTAATATCTCACATCTATGTGTTTTGTCCTTTGGTGATGTTCAGGATTCTTAACCAATTTCAGAGCTCCCTGGTTGTCACAATGTATTGAAATCGGATCTGAAACCAAACCTAAATCAGTCAATAGTTGTCCAAGCCATAGCGATTGCTTGGTAGACTCAGCAAGAGCAATATATTCAGCTTCGGTTGTAGACAAAGCCACTGTCTTTTGCAACTTTGAACTCTATGAGATAGCTCCTCCGTTCAGCATGAAAATGTAACCAGAAGTTGATCTTCTAGAATCGATGTCACCTGCATAGTCAGAGTCGCAGTATCCTCGCAGAATATTGTCTCCATTTGCAGTATAAGTGATTCCGACATCTATTGAGCCTTTCAGATATCGCAAGATTCTCTTGATTGCTGTCCAGTGAGTTTTATCATGGCATTCAATGAATTGACTCAATTTACTTACTACAAAGGCAATGTCTGGTCTGCTGCCTGTCATTAAATATATTAAACTGCCGACGACTTCTCTATATGAAAACGGCATCAATTCATTTGAAATTTCCACTGGTTTGCTTAGTCTGACATTGGCATCTGCAGGAGTGTCTATGGTCTTGCAATCCAACATGTTGAAGCGGGTTAGAATCCTCTTTATATATGTCTTCTGGTGTATTTTTAGAGTATTTTTGCTTTTGTCTCTATCTATCTCCAGTCCGACGAAACAATTTGCATCTTCCACCTGAATCTCGAGGAGTTTCTTTAAATAGGTAAGTATTTCATCCTTTATCAACTCTGAGTTACAGCACAGTAAACCATCATCAACATAGATACCAAGGATGACAATGATTTCACGATTCTTCATGAAGTATACGCAATGATCTGACTTTACCTGTTGAAAACCAAATTCTGTCAAGAAACCATGTAATTTGTTGTTCCATGCCCTTGATGCTTGTTTTAATCCATAGAGTCCTTTGAATAATCTGCAGACTTTTCCAGTTCCATCACAGAAACCCTCAGGCTGTTCCAGATAAAGTTCCTCTTTTAGGTCTCCATATAAGAAAGCAGTTTTAACATCAAAATGGGCAATGTCAAGCTTATAAAATGCTGCAAGTGACAGGATTATACGTATGGAGTCCATCTTCATAACTGGTGAAAAAATTTCTCCATAGTCTAGACCAGGTTTCTGTAAATAACCCTTCGCCACTAACCTTGCCTTGTATCTCAGACTCGTTTTCGGTCTTTCCTTTATTGTATAGACCCATTTTGACTTTATTGCTTTTCTATTCTCTGGTAGATCCGTTAGTTCCCAGGTATTGTTTTGAAGTAGACTGTTATACTCTTCATTCATTGCATTTTTCCATTCTGCTGCTTCTTCACACTCAAGTGCCTCATTATAGTTAGTTGGTATACTTGTCATTAAGAAGCATTGTTCACAGTATCGATCTGGCATCTTTAGAGTAGATCGATCTCGTAGTTTTCTTTTTCCTTGTTCTTCACTTCTAGTAGCATTCGAGATTGTCTTCCTCGTTTTTGGTGTCTCAATTTCTCCTTGTTCACCTGGTTCCTCTTCATGTGAATCTTCGGAATCATCAAGTTTATGTTTATCTGGGGTCTCCTCTTCTTCCTCTTGTTGCATGTTCATGTCTAATGAGATGGTAACTGTGCCTTTTAATTCGGATGTTTCGTCAAACTTTACGTCTCTTACGACATCGATTCTATCCTTGTCTTCATACCATACTCTATAGTTCTTATCTGTATCTGTGTAGCCAACAAGTTTTCCCTTTCTTGACTTAGGTTCCCATTTCTTTCTGAACTGTTGTGGTATTAAAACATAGCAGGTAGTCCCAAAAACTCTCAAATGCTTGACCGACGGTTTCTTCTTGAACCATTGTTCATAGGGCGTTATTTCATTTCCGGAGACTGGAACCTTGTTGAGTACATAGACTGTCGTATTTATCGCCTCTGCCCAGAGTTTCTTCGGTAATCCTTTAGCATGAATCATACACTTCGCATGTTCAACCAGGGTACGATTTTCACGTTCAGCACGCCCATTTTGCTGAGGATTATAAGCAGCACTCGTCTGATGCTTGATTCCATGATTTAGCAAAAATTCCTTTACACCATCATTGTCGAATTCTTTTCCATTGTCGCTAAAGAATGTTTTCATAATTCTACCTGTTTCTGCACGTTGTTCTGCAACAAATTGCTTCAATCTTTTTAGAACTTGATCCTTGGTATGCATGAAGTAAACTTTGGTATAGTGACTTGCCTCATCTTTAAATTCTACGTAGTATAGAGATCTGTTTAAAGATTCAACCTCCATTTTTCCGCATACATCTGCATGTATTACCGCACCAATTTCATTACATTTTGTGGTTTTTGACTTATACGGTTGTTTGCACATTTTTCCGTATGTACATCCTTCGCAGAAAAATTTTTCTTTGGTGTCCATTTTCTCCATTCCTTTCACAATGTTTGATTTTTCCATTTTCAATACAGTGCCAGGCGAAACATGAACAAGTCTCTCATGCCATAACTTTATACTTCCAATGTGTGCAGTTTGTTCTATCATGCGTATTTTTAAACTGTATAAGTTGTTATAATTTCGATTTCCAGTTAGAATTACCTTTTTATTATCTAGGACTCTGAGACTTTTATCTTTCATCTCAACTTTAAATCCGCGATCTGTTAGTACTCCTAGACTGATCAAACCTATTTCACATAGATTAGGTACCCATAGTACATTTAAAAGTTGTCGCTTAATCCACGTTGTGCCATTGTAGAGTTCCGCATTAATTGTTCCTCGTCCTTTCGCTGCCATTCTTGATCCGTTTCCAATCGTAATAGGCATGTCATTTGTAAATAGTTCCAAATTTTCAAAGAAACCTTTGTCTCTAGCCATATGACTTGAACATCCGGAGTCTCCTTTCCAGTCTTTGTCACTGATATCACCTTCATTTATAATCAGCCCCTTTTGTTCAGATTTCGATATATCATTGCTCTTATTAAATTTGCAATTTTGCTTTAAATGTCCCTGTTTTCCACAAATCCAGCATTTCCGTTTTTCTTTGTTTTCTTTATTTTCAAATTTCTTGTCACGCTTTTTGTATTTTTCAGAACCTTTCGTTATCAGAGCTTCACCTGTTTCCTTACCGGTGTCATCGCCTTTCTGTATATCTTGTTCCACAATCTATAATTGCGCTTGAATGTCTTTTAGTGTCAGAGCTGTTCCAGCCGCCGCCGAGATGCGGTACGATTGTCTAAAAAAATTGTATTCTTTTGGCAAATCGTTTATAGCTTTTGCAATCATCGTCGCATCACTTACCGTTTCCTGTATTGATTCTAATTTTTGCCTGATGATTGACAAACCAGAAAAATAAGCTGAGATACTCATACCTGGCGTGTACTTGTATTGGTGAAATTCTTGTTGTGCAAGATACTTATTAGTTTGCGAACTCTGTTCTCTCAACGTCTTGATTGTATTCCACATCTCAGCAGCGGATGCACTGCCACGAATAGCTGCATGATGTTCCTCATCGAGACTTGAAGATATAACTAAGCGTGCTCTTGCATCTTGTTTTTTCCATTCCGTTACTGCTGCAGCATTAGAATTATCGGCTCTCAGCACTGGTGATATCAATGATCCATCAACGTATCCAAGTAGATCGGTTGATTCTAGAGCTGCCTGAACATCAAATTTCCATCGTTGATATGACTCTACTGTGAGAGTCGGTAGGTTATACAACACTTTGTCCGACATTTTCTTTGTCTAAAAGCACGATGTCCTTATACACGTCCAGCAACTAATTTCTTATGAATATTCAATCTTTTTCAATACTTCAATCATAAAAACTATATTGTCCCAGTTTCAAGCTTCTCTGGGCCCATAACCTGTTGATTACTCGGTTAAACGTAATAATTAGTCTTTATTTTTAAAGAAACTTTATTCAGCAGCGCACACATTACATAAAATCAGAAGAAGAAACATAGAACACCAAAAATAATGTAGATAAGAAAAATCATGTAGAAAACAAATAAACTTAGTTGAATCTAGTGTGCGCTTTATATACGCGGATAATGTAGAGCACCTTTTTATTAACATATATTATACAGAAATATATGTTTTATTTTAAGCTGGAACAAGATTTTGAAATATTACATCCAGAACACGGTTAAAACTTTATATTGCTTGGTCAAAATTAATCAGAATTTATAACTGACAGAGTGAATTTTAAAGCTAAAAAGCGTTTGGATAATGTTTTGACACCTGGTAAGATTTTAATAATGTCTCATTTTACAGTGATATTGTGTAGCGATTATATTCAACTTATTTTGTAATATATTTATATATATATATATTATGTTGCTATTATGATATGTATATATTATGATTATATTTGTAATATAATTATTCATATTTCTATAGAGGGCACCAAAGTTGCAATTATATCGTTAATGCCTCATTTGTTCCCTGTAATCACGATTAAAAAAGGTAAACCAAGAGATTGGAGACCTTCTAGGGAAGAATGTGAAGAAGCATTTCTTTTACATGTGAAGGTAAATATACAATTAAATTGATTTTACTTTTCAATCTTTCTTTTTTTATGTTGCATTTTTTGTTGAATTAAAGCCTATATACCATATTATAAGTTAATTATTTTAATATTATTCTAAAAATACGTTAATATTTTGCAGACGATTACTGATTTGGATGCAAGATTAGAAGAGCGTACGAAAAAATTGCGATCATTTGGTGTGACCTCGCAGCCCATTACAGTGATAGTTGGTCCCAGCTTTGATGAAATTCATCAGTGCTTTGTTGTAATCAACAACTTGCGATATGAAGTAGAAACACCACTGAAAGGTAGACCTCGTTTTTAAAATATGTACTGCTTTAAATATTGAATATCCTCTCGAAATAAGGCAACTCTTCATGTTTTTGCAAAGAGCTGTATACAATTTTGAAACTTTGTGGGATAAGCATAAAAACTCTCAACTCACTTGTAGTGTTCTTGCTTTGTATAGCATACATAAGATTATAAATCTTTTTTCCAAAAGTATTTCATTAGCGTCATGCCTAAGTGTTTTTTATGTAAAAAAACAGAAACATCTGTCAATGGTTTATTTATGCATTTTGATTTTAAACATCGTGCTCATTCATTCACAGTTTTTAAATGTGGTGAAAATGGATGTTATCGACAATGGTCGTTGCGAAATTCATTGCGAAAACATTTAGTTGGACCTAATCATAATTTTCCTGCTTGGTCTACTATTAAGTCTACTCATGAACATCGTATTGATTGTAATAACGCTGAAATTTTTAATGAATGTATTAACCAGGTTAATACAAGTAATTCTGATATATTATCAACAGAAATTGGTGCCAAAAATTATTTGCGTGAAATAACTCTTATTGACAATGAGTCTATTATAAAAGATCGCAGTAATGCTTTTGTTGCAAAATTATATAATAAACCTTCAATCCCACGAAACCATATTCAATCCATTATTGATGATATTATATTTCTAATAAGTCGCCATAGTTCCATTTTAAAAGAAAAAATTGTTTCACACTTAAATACACTTGGTTCTGAAACAATGAAAGATATAACATCAATATTGGATTGTCTAAAACATTCATTCAACCATCTTCAGAATGAGTACCAACGTGTTAAATATTTTAAGTCTTCTACTAATTATATAGCTCCTATTAAGTATTGCATAGGTAACAGAAGGGTATGTAAAGATACTGGATCATTTCTTGTTGAAAAAGTTAAAGACGTTTATAGTTATTTCATACCTTTGAGACAGGTATTACAAAAATTTTTTGAACTGCCTGATGCATTTACTGCTACAATGCATTACATTAATTCACTTAAAGATTCAGATAGTGTAAAGAACTTTATTCAATTTAAACTTTGGTGTCAGAAGAGAAAAACTTTGACAGTAATGCTACTGTTTTACCACTTTTTATTTATTATGATGATTGGGAATCCATTGGGATCTCATAGTGCTGCTCTTGGAGGAGTATATTGTTACGTACCCTGTCTGCCACCTGAATGCATATCTCGTTTGGAGAATATTTTCTTAGTTCTCTTGTTTCAATCTGAAGACCGAAAAGAATTTGGGAACAAACAAATATTTGCACCTTTGATTGAGGAGCTTAATTTTTTAGAACAAAACGGGATAACAGTTACTATAAACGGTAATATCCATAAAATCTACTTTGTACTAGGTTTACTATTTGGCGACAATTTAGGACTCCATGCTATGTGTGGTTTTCTTCAAAGTTTTCGTGCTAACTATGCATGTAGATTTTGCAAATTACATCGCACTCTTTGTGGAACTACCTGTCTTGAAGACGAAACTGTTCTCAGAACACATACATCTTATGTAACTGATTTAGCCTTAGAAAATAGTTCACTTACTGGAATTACAGAAGAATGCGTCTTTAATGAAGTCAATTCATTTCATGTGACTGATAATGCTTATGTTGACATCATGCATGATGTTTTAGAAGGTATTGCTTACTATGATATGATTTCAATAATAAGTCATTTTATTGACATCGGTGATTTTAACTTGTCAAATCTCAATCACAGTGTGCAAATGTTTCATTATGGTCCTGGTGTACAAAATAAACCACCTTATATTGATAATGATTTTGCAACAAAAAGCAAACTAAAAATGACAGCCTCAGAAATGTTTATCTTTTGTAGACTTTTCGGTGTTATTATTGGACATTGTGTGAAATCATATAATGATCCATTTTGGAAATTGTATTTGTTATTAAAAGAAATTCTTGAACTTTTGCAAAGTAGATCAGTGTCAGACGATTTTGCTTCTGCATTTAAAGTATTAGTTTTGGAACACCATAACCAATATATGAAATGCACGAACGAACGTTTAAAACCAAAACATCATCATCTTGTTCACTATTCACGCGTCATGATGCAATCTGGTCCACTTATTTTATTATCTGCGATGAGGCTTAAGGATTTCATAAAGCTCTTAAGAAAATTGCTAAAGTTATAACGTCAAGAAAAAATATTGCTTTTTCCATTGCTACTCGTTATCAACTTTCGTTTTGTTATAAACTAATGGCTCAGGAAAGTATTATTCCAACTTTTGAAGTAGGATCAGGAAATATTAATATTACTAAACACGATCGCTTTAACTATTTTGCACCATTCTTGCCAACTAATATACTTCGTGATCCACATTCTTTTATTACAAACTTTGTTAATTATAAAGGCACTCGGTATCAATCCAAAATGGTATTGGTTTGTGGAACGGACGAAAATTCCTGTCCTATTTTTGCAGAAATTCAACACATTATTCTTCATCAAAATAATCTTTTTTTTATTTGTTCCTCTGTTCTAAATATGGGGCCTTAATTGTGATATTGGTGGTTTTGAAGTAGAACGAAGTACTAAGTGGATTTTTATTAAATATGAAGACTTATTGGATCCTTTTCCTTTGTTCATTTATACTATGGCAACTGGTGAGCGATATATTATTTTACATCATCCTGTGTGATATTACTTTTCACCTAATGTCATACTTTCCTGAGTCTGTTTACATGTTTATGTGTGTAATACAATACCATATATTTTATATGAAGATATTTTATGTTAAAATGAGTAAATTTTTTTATTTATTAATTTTATATGAAAAGAGCACACACGTTATATGCGTTATTGTTAAGTACTTATAATATTAAATATAATTTCGTAATACTAAGTAATCTCTTTTACAATACACTTATAATACTTTTTTCAACAAAATTGTTTTTGCAATGTATATCGGCGTAATTTTGTATTTTAGTGTATTAGTTATGTATAATAAGAATTAGTACTCATATATGTATAAGGAAGGTAAATATAAAAATATAATTTTGCATGTGTGATTTTACTTTTTCCTTATATTTTTTAGCCTCCATAAGTCAATAAAATTATTTAACTATCAATTATAGCTACCGTTTATATATACCATTTTCACTGCCATTGATATTATTTTAGCTGTGGGACAAACCTCGAATATAAACGTCATTTTGGATAGATTTGCTGACATAGCTAAAATATTAACAATGATACCAAAACTTACAGCTCTAACAGCTAAACAATGTGCGCGTCACAACTAATTGTTGTTATGCATATTGCCATAGCTATTTTCTGCAGTGTGTACTGCAGCTAAATCTTTAGCTGCCACAGTTACAAGCCTTTCAGCTAATAAAAATAGATCTCGCAACAACAACTTTAGGTGTCCCTATAATACAAGCGAAGTTTAGTTACAGGACCTAGTTTTTAGCTGTGACAGTTAAATTTTTTTTCCGTGGAAGTGGTGATAGCTTTAATAAAACTCGTTTGAGGATTTGATCGACAAGGACGCTTGTCTACTTTTTTCTCTTCTGATTCTAATGTAGTCTCAGGGTATTCCCTGATTCATTCCCGAAACAGATGAATATTCTATTGAATGGACGACATTGCCAATGTCAATTAATATTCAACATTGCTGTCCTACCGATTAACAAGAGTGACACTGTGGTGTGTATTCTCGATATTCGAATCAATACACATGGATTCGTCTTTGGCGACTGAATCTATTTTGCATGATTTTTATTCATGAGGATTATAATAATTTCGATTACTTGAAAAACGTAACATTGAAAAAACGTGATTGAAATTTATAAACACATTACTTAAAGTTAATCACGAAAATTCACTGGTTAATCAAAACGAGTTATGTGTGTATTTTGATTGCATTACAAAACGTTTATGCGATACAAATACGACTTTGATGTAAGGAATGATGAAAATGATGCGTGATTGTTGACTTTTGAATATGCAACCGATCTTTAATCAAGATAAAATACTTTTACAATACATGTATATGCTAAGGTGACCAACTCCTTAAGAAGAGAAAGAGGGACATTTAAAAAAAAATTCAATATTAATTGTCGTAATTAAATTTTAAACATTTTTTTATAATTATTAATGAAACATGAACAATATTATATTATTATCTTTGTTAATAACACTTAATGTATAACATCACATGAGATCACAACAAAAATTACAAAATAAAAGGATCAAGTTACGAGATCACATTTTATTTTTTAAACTTGTACTTTTCTACTGAATGTATTTTATGAATAATATCTGGGTTTTTTAAAATAAAATATCATAAAATTCTTCACACGATAGTTGAAAATTATATTTCACACTTATTATGAGTTCACAGTTCCATTATTTTTACTAATAATTGTGTTTTTTCAGGAGTTCATATTTGATTAATTAAAGAAAAACCTTGTTCGACACAGACATTTGTCCCTGGAAGACATAAGCCAAATTCAATGAGTATTTTCAAATTCTTAATGTCAATGTGCTGCAGACTAAAATGTTGAAATATTTCAATCCATCGTTGATCAACTTTTTTATTATTATCATACCAATCTTTTATTTTGTCATTAGAAACATACATATTTACTCTTCTTATTTTGTTAATTAAAATATTATCATCAATTTTTATAAATGAATATTTTTTTCCCAACATTTGAATCGTTTCTTGAACACTATTTCATTCAATTTTAGTTTTTAATAATGAAAAAAGAAAAATATTTGACTTTATATATTAAGATGGCCAGTCCAAGAATTTAAATAATTTATACAAATTGTATAATATAAAAAATTTCTGAATGTTTCTTAAACAGCAAATTATCAAATTCAGTTAA